TAAAATAAATCGAAAATCAAACAGTTAATATTTTTCAAGAATGATGTTGGCTGTAATAATAGTAAAACAATAAAAATACTTGCCTATTTATTATTCAAAATAAAATGAAAATCAATCAATGTTAATATGTTTACAAAAAACAATGGTAATGGTAGTAAATAATAAAAATACTTACCTTTTATTTATTATTTAAAATAAACAAAAATCAACAGTTAATATTTTTCAAGAATAATATTGTATGTAATAATAATGATGAGAATACTTACACTCTATATTTATTATTTAAGCTAAAACGAAAATGACATAATCAATATCATAATATTATTAACGAAATGGAGCATTAGGATAAGATAGGGTATTTCTATATTCAAGCTGTTGATCACTAGGAATTTCTAAGATTTCACTTGGAATTGCATTTTTTTTATTTCTATATTTTACAATCATGAATGTTGCTATTCCAACTAATATTACTCCAACTAAAATTGCAATTACTATTATTAATATTTGAAAAGTGTTTGATGATGTTATTGATGTTGATGTATCTGGTTGTGATGTTGTTGGTGTTGTTGTTGGTGGTGTTGTTGTATCTGATCCTGGTGGTGTTGTTGTTAGTGTTGGTGTTGATGGTGATGGTGATTGTGCTGCAGGTACTGAATAACTTTCCTTCCAAGTAAAATCTTTAATATCAAGTATATAAGTTTTTGCAGTAGATGATTTTGGACCTGAAACATTATTTGTAACATTTCCTATATATGTATATGTAATTTATTAATTAATTATTAATTAACTTCAAAGTTGAAAAAATAAAAAGCTTTTTTAAAAGTAAAATATACCAAAACTTATTACCATTTGATCTCCAATTAAATTAGCTGAATGGTGTGTTACAGGTAGGGCATGATTAACATTTGAAAAATTAGGTGCTGACCATTGAAAAGGATTTGTGGTTGTATCTAGTACCAAAAGTTCAGGAAATGAAGTGGATTCTAAAAAATTTTAAATTAAAAATTGATTACAAAGTACAGCTGAATGACCATTTCGAGATTGGATTTGTGATGGTCCACTTGCTATCTAAAATTTTCAACAAGGTGTAAGAAAATTTGAAATAAATTGTTTTTTTTTCATAAAGAATCTAGTAAACTTTATATTTTAATTGATTAAATATTTACCATAATTGTCCAAGTTGAACTACTTGTATCAAAAATTTTTATCTATAAAATGAATATATTAATATTTTATTTCATAATCAATATTTTCTATACAAATCTATAAAATAAATGCATACTTTATACATGTCAACTGGAATTGAAGATCCTCCATTGCTCTCTCTTCCACCAATAATTACAATTCTACCATCAGGTAATAAAGTTGATGTATGATCATAAGTTGCCAATGGTGAGTTAGTTGCAGAGACTAAACTCCAAGTCAGGTCTACTGTGTTCAAAATATACATATCATTAAAGCGTTGAGAGGTAGAAGATCCAGTATGGTTATCTGCTCCTCCACCAAAAATATACATTTTTCCTTTATCATCTACAACAGCACTACTTTCTCTACGATTAAT